ATTATGTCCGGGTTATGCAGTCGATTATATCAACCATTATAGTGTTATAACTGATAACGCGAGTTTCCTCTTTCTCTGATAAAAAGGAGGTGGTGGCAGTGTGAAGGGGTTAACTGTGTAATTACCCTGACCCAGTAACAATCGATTCAGGCTGCTGGCACATCGATCGGTATCCATTAGCTGGAAAATCGTTGTGCAGGGTGCAGCTGGGTGTGGCATTGTTACGCACGTCACATTGCGGTTTTAGGTCGGCTAGCCCTTCGGTCACGAGTTTTGGTGAGAAGGTCTGGGGTCTGACGCGCGATCGTGACACTCCCCTTCCCCCAGACTGACAATGCTGCTGTCTAAATCTGCCCCTATGCTCCTTTATCCAGTTGTGTCTCAGTGGCCAGATCACCAGGGGAAAAAAGCCTACAAAGAAAACTAATTCAACCACCACATCTAATGATGGGTAAACTGAAATTTATTTTATTTTAGTTTAGTTTTAGGTTTAATACCACTTTAATACTTGCCCTTATGGCAGTGGGTGACTAAAATCTTTTCTCTCTTAGACAGCTACAGATGCTGCTGTCATTCAACACTTCAAGTGGTGTCAAATTTCTGGTCCAACTCTGCGTTCTGCGATTTGATTCCTCCTGCCGGATGCTATATGGCTACAGCATTTTGTAGTGATGCAGTGGCCAGAATGTTATTCAATGCAAAAGAGCCTTAAGCTCCTAGAGATGGCCCTTCCTCTCCACGTCTCCTAAGATGCAATGAATTAAAGCAGTCTGGTATCAAGGTTTAATTAACTACCTCTCACCCACCCAATGCACAGATGTGGCCGGGCAGGACAAGCATCGTTCTGACAGAATGCACCAGTCATTTTCCCTAATCACCACAACACCAGTCATATTGTCCCAGATCACTGCCACACCAGTTGCAGTGTTCCTAACAACTGCCACACCTATCCTAGTATCACCAGGCCAGAGTATGCCAGGAACAGTGTTGCTTAACACTGCCACACGAATTGCAGAGTCACCACACCAGTGAAAGCCAGTAATAGTTTCTCTAATTATAGAAAAGCCAGCCCCCAGTGTCACCAGACCAGTGTAAGTCAGCAGCAGTGTTTCTGATTGCTGCCACATTACTCCCCAGCGTCACCAGACAGTGTCAGTGACCGTGTTCCTGAGCACTGCTACAACAGTGCAGTGTTGCCTCTGTTTCCTGCCTGTACTAGGCTGTTTATTGACCAGGTTTCTGCCTGCTGCCTGGACCCATCCTTTGCCTGTTTGCTGACCATGTGTGCTTGCCTGCACCTGAACGGATCCATCTGCACATTCTGAGGACTACGTTCCGGAGAGACACGAGTCCCAGCCATCCCCTGCAGGCAAAATGAACTCCCAGAACCACAGTAACTCTTTCGTTCTTCCTTTCTTCGGCCTCCTGTACTTCCTGGCCAGTGAACATGGCATTCCTGGGGACAGCCACGTGCCTGTAGGCCAGGCTTGCTTGGCTTATAGGAACAGGAATTGCTATAGGTGATGCTACACGAAGCTATATTAGTAAGCTATATCACTCGTACAAAGGCAACCATTACAGGACATTGTTTTTGGCACAATTGGTTGATTTGTGTGGTATAAAAGATACAATGTCCAGTACATAAGAAGTCCAGACAGTTAAAGTCTCACACGTGATATCACCATACTCAAGCAGAGTAGTAGAATGTGTTTGGAGTTGTAATTCTAAGTACACTCATGCTCTGGCAAGAAATAACATTAAATTGACAATTTTGTGTAAAAAAAATAATTTCCATTTTCTTTCCACATTTTCCAAACACATGGCAAAAAAATGAAGTCTTCAAAAGACTCTCCATGCTTCTTAAATACATTGGGGGTGTGTACTATCAAAAATGTGGTCAATTTGCAGGTGTTTCCACTGTCCTGGTGCTCCAGAACCTCAAAAATGTGATAGGTATTCAGGAAATTAGAGGTGTAATTTATGCCCCTAGGATGCCTAAAGGTGCTCTTTGAATTTTGGGCCCCTCTATGTGGTTAGGGTTTGAAAAAGTCTCACAAGGGGGCACTCGTGAGCAGTGCTAGCAGATGGCCGCTCAGTGATCACGTTCCTCCACCACCAGGCACATCAGCGATCACCCTGCCTCCTGAAGAGCCCGCTCTACCCTCCACCACTGCCCTAGTCCTCCTCTGACCCCCCAACCACATATGGGGAAGAAGAAGGCGGTCTCCCGCGCCTCCAGAGCTAGATTGCCGAACTGTTCCGGGTTCTGCGGCCTACCCGCCGGTGCTTCCTCCAGAAGTCCAAGCCTAGATTTTGGCAGTTTCTCCGCCGCTACTCCCTGGCGACCCAAATGCGCCCTCTGACCTGGAGAGCCTGCCTGACATCCCTCCAGACCTCCAACAGCCTTCCTTGCGGGACGCAGACCTCTTGGCCAGGTTCAAGACCATGCTGCAGGAGGAGCTTACTAAAGCCACCTCCAGACTAGTCACTCATCTCACTAAGGAGATTCGCGAATTGGGAAGTCCCACTGACGCTCTTGAAGATAAGATGGACGCCACCGGCTACAGTGATAGAAAACCATGAGCAGGACCTTTCAGATCTGAGAAAAGAGCTTGGACGTGGCTCTCCAGCATCTGGAGGATTTTGAGCACAGTTCCCGGTGGGGTAATCTTCGCCTGCATGGCCAGCTCAAAACCATCGTTGATCTCACATCCACTGCTACCCGCGCTTTTTCAAGAGTTGGGACCGGCGATACAAATAGATAGCGTAGCATTGCTTTGGCTCCCGCATAAGTTGCCCCCCCCCCCCCCCCCGGACCTGAGCCCCATCATGCTTCACAGTCTACTAACCTGGGATTCTGTTAAATATTCGGGTAATTTAATATCTTTTGTTCTTTTGCCGATTATGCATAATCCTCTATTTCCACCAGGCTTAGAACATCCCCCTTCATTCTCTTGATGGACTTCCCATGGCTTTGTTACTGTACAGGACTTCCTGAACACTCGTTTGTTTTCATCTTGGGAGTCTCTACGAGAATCACGGGGGGTTCCGCAGCGGGAATATTATCGTTATTTGCAATTACGCCACTGGCTTAGGTCCATATGTCGTACCTCCACATATCCTTACCGCAAAACACCCTTTGAACACGTTTGTCAACATTCCCAGGGTCCCCTGGTCTAATTTCTGTAATTTATGCCTCTCTTAACAGTAGGTCCTCCTCACCGCCCCTGTGCTATGTCTCTTAATGGGAGCAAGATTTAGGTTCCTCGATAGCGGCGGAGGATTGGCACAAGGCCTGGAAGATGGTGGCGAAATGTTCTTTCAATACTGTCACTCTTGAGGAAGCCTACAAAGTTGTCCTGTGGTGGTACTGGGTCCCGGCTCAGACTGCTCACTTTAATCCGATTGGTGGGGATAGGTGTTTCTGGAACTGTGGTCTACGTGGGGACATCCTGCATATCTGGTGGTCGTGCCCAAGATTGATAGGCTTCTGGTCTAAGGTTTTTGGTTTGCTGCAAATGTCATTTCATATTACGGTCCGTAAGGATGCAAGAGTGGCCCTCCTGCATTGTCCAATTTTGGGTCTGTCCAGGTCTCAGCAGAAACTGGCATCCTACCTATTCATTTCAGCCAAACGTGCTATAGCTCAAGCCTGGAGAATCCCTTCGGTTGTCTTCCAGGGTGTAAAGACCTGGCTGAATGCTATGATGATCATTGAACAAATGTCTAGCATTTTTCAGAATTCTCATCCGAGATTCCTTAAGGTTTGGGAACCTTGAATACATTTATTCCCTGCCGTCCTAGCCTCCTGCTAGCTATGGCCTCTTTTAGTCATTGCCTGTGCTGGCCCTGAATCTGTGATTCTTCCATTCTTCCCTTCTTCCTTGTTTTCTCCCTGAATCTTTTCCCCCTTCCTTATTTCTTTCTACTTTCCTATACTTTCTTCTTTTCATTAGTGTGGGCTTCTCTCCCATTTATTCTGAGATGATACTTCTCGGTAAGGGTTTTTCCTCTGTTTTGTTTCGGTAAGATGATGGAATGCTGCTGCTACTGATTGGTTCGGCTTTTTGCTGTTCTCCCTTGGTGCCATTGGACGTTCTGTTATTTGGCTAATACATCCTGCTGATTTGTATCTGCTTATGTATGCTTTTGTTCCGCTCTGCCCCCCCTGCGTGGGCGTCTCATGAGCCTGTTGTATTCCAAAAACCTTCTTTAATAAAAATATTGAAATAGAAAAAGTCTCATAAGTATGGTATCGCCATACTCGGGAGGAGTAGCAGAATGTGGTTTGGGGTGCAATTCGGTAATTCATAAGTTTGCGTATATGTATTTGAAATACAGTATATTGCCAAAAGTATTGTGATGCTTGCCTTTACACGCACATGAGCTTTAATGGCATCCCAGTCTTCGTAGGGTTCAATGTTGAGTTGGTCAAACCTTTGCAGCTCTAACAGCCTCAACTCTTCTGGGAAGGCTCTCCACAAGGTCTAGGAGTGGGCCTATGGGAATGTTTGACCATTCTTCTAGAAGCACATTCGTCAGGTCAGGCACGGATGTCGGTGAGAAGGCCTGACTCGCAGTCTCCGCTCTAATTCATCCCAAAGGTGTTCTATTGGTTTGAGGTCAGGAGTCCAGTCAAGTTCCTCAACCCCAAACTCTCTCATCCATGTTTTTATGGTCCTCACTTTTTACATTGGTGCGCAGTCATGTTAGAACAGGAAGGGGCCGTCTCCAAACTGTCCCCACAAAGTTGGGAGCATGAAATTGTCCAAAATGTCTTGGTATGCTCACACCTTAAGAATTCCCTTCACTGGAACTAAGGGGCCAAGCCCAACTCCTGAAAAACAACCCCACACCATAATCCCCCCTGCACCAAACTTTATACTTGGCACAATGCAGTCAAGCAAGTATCGTTCTCCTGGCAACTGCAAAACCCAGACACGTCCAACGGATTGCCAGACAGAGTGATTCGTCACTTCGGAGCACACGTCTCCACTGCTCTAGAGTCCAGTGGCGGATTGCTTTACACCACTGCATCCAAAGCTTTGCTTACACTTTGTGATGTAAGGCTTGGAAAAATTACTGCAGGGGATAGCTCTGGAATATAGGCATGTATTGCAGCCTTAGGTTTGTTTTTGTTTTTTTGTTTGTTTTTTTTATACTTTACCTGTCTGGAAGTAAAAAAAAGTGACCAGAGCTGGGCTTTAAAAAAATACATTCTTTTAAAAAAACAAAAAACAAAAAAAAAAAACATATACAGTGCTGTGCAGTGCAATTTCATTCCATTCATTCTAAATGGGCTGAAATCGCATTGTATCGCACTGCCCCAAAAGTAGTGCATGCACTACTTTTGAAAACTCACTGCAACCGCATTGCATGCACTTGGTGATGTAAGGCTTGGATGAAGCTGCTCGGCCATGGAAACCCATTCCATGAATCTCTCCCCGCACTGCTGTTGTGCTAATTTGAAGGCCACAAAAGTTTGGAGGTCTTTAGGTATTGACTCTGCAGACAGCTGGCGACTTCAGCTCATTGTGCGCTTCAGCATGCGCTGACCCCACTCTGTCATTTTACGTAGCCTACCACATCGTAGCTGAGTTGCTGTTGCTCCCACTTTGCTATAATACCACTAACAGTTGACCGTGGAATATTTAGTAGCAAGGGAAATTCACGTATGGACTTTTTGCACAGGTAGCAACCTATCACGGTACCACTCTTGAATCCACTGAGCTCCTGAGATTGACCCATTCTTTCACAAATGTTTGTAGAAGCAGTCTGCATGCCTAGGTGCTTGAATTTTATACATCTGTGGCCATGGAGGTGATTGGAACACCTGAATCCAATTATTTGGAGGAGTGTCCCAATACTTTTGGCAATATAGTGTATCTTATTAATTGACAATTTATGTAAAAATAACTTATTTAAATAACGACTTTGTGAACAAAAATGTAATTTGGGTAGAGTGATACTATCGCCTTACTATTCCGGGTTGAATGACACTGGGCACTATTACACCAAGGAAGACTAAGGACAAGTAGTAGAAAAATTACAGCAGGGGATAGCTCTGGGATATAGATATTGCAGCCTTAGGTTTGTTTTTGTTTTTTTCATACTTTACCTGTCTGGAGGTAAAGTAAAAAAAAGTGACTGGAGCTGGGCTTTAAAAAAAAAAAAAAAAAAAATACATTCTATTTAAAAAAAAACAAAAACATATGCAGTTCTGTGCAGTGCAATTTCATCCCATTCATTCTGAATGGGCTGAAATCGCATTGCATCGAACTGCCCCAAAAGTAGTGTATGCACTATTTTTGAAAACTCACTGCAACCGCATTGCATGGTACTTCTGTACCATGAGATCCGGTGCAGGCAAATATACTGTGTTTGTGACCTACATGTGGGGTGTCATTAACTTAATATTGACACCCACTAGAGATCATACTTGCAGTGAATTTTGAACTTGAGTTTCCCCCATCTCATTCTTGTGTGAATTGGCCCTCAGGACGTGCTTTCAGAATGCCAGGAAGTGGAGGCACTTAATAGAGAATATTGATACAAAAGTGAAAAATACAAAACAAATTAGGATGTTCAGCAAGTATGCATAAAAAATAAATCCCAATGTTCCCTAAAAATCATTATTAAAAATAAAAGGCAATCTATAGTAGATGTACTTACAGGTTACAGCAGAGATCTGTAAAACTCCTACAGGATCTGAAGGACCTGCAGATCAACAAGAGGGTTTACAGGACAGTAGTGCAAAAGAGAATTATTCAAGGCATCAATAGTCTTTTATATAAGAGCATAGTATGGCTGATCACATGGACAAAGAACAATGTTGAGCAAAATGAGTTAAATTATTTCAACATGTGACAATATTAACATGTGAGAAAAACATTCACAAATACCACAATTCACACTGCATTTGGAGTTCATTTCATTCAAACCCCTAAGACAAGCCTAGTGAACACATACTTTAGTAGCAAAGTGAACCTGAACTGCACTTCCAGAATGCACTGCCAACTGCAATGCTACAGGATCCAAAGCGACAAATAAATGAATGATCCCAACAGTTACATGAAACCTGTCAGGAGAGACATACTTAGACTAAGTTTCCCTAGCTGTCATGCCGATTCTACAGCTTCTTTGTTTTAGGAGTCTATACATATGCAGACTGTTTTTTGCCCGAGTTATGTATACTTAATCTAAGTTTGTGACTGAGAAACTAATAAAATAAATAGGAGCATCACCGAAGCATTTTCAGAGTGTGGTTTGGAAAGATACCACACTGGTCAGGACAGGTGTCCATAAAAGAAAAAGCATGTTACGTTCAGGAAAGATGGCTGCAGGATTTAGGTGGCTGATTTATCAATAAGAGACTTACGTTTAAATGTTTCTGGCTCTGCCCATGTGGAACTCAGGATGTATGCCTGTGTAGCTTCCTCTGCATCTGAAAGCACAAAGCAAAACCAAAGTTATTAGAGCTTTAAAACTAAACTATGGGCAAAAAAAATTAAACAGGCACTTCCTTTATAAGGTGACAACACTCTGTCTCCATCTCCCAATTTTACTTCTGCTTGGTCACCCTGTCACATGAGCTTCTGATTGAGACTACAAGTGGCCTTTTCAATATACATTTCACAGGTATAGTGCACTGTTGTCACCATCAAGAAACCAGCCTTAGGCTGGGTACACACGGTCTCAATATCAGCCAACAGAAGCTGACATGCTTTAGTTGAAGGGACATTCTAGAAAACTGGCATCCGATCAGCGCTTGCAGCCAATATTCTGGCGGGGAAGGGAAGGTAAGCCCCACTGTCAGAACACAAACACTAAGGCACAGCAGAAGAGATTGCTGTACTGACATTACTTAGTACAGCAAACCCTCAGTTTTTTTTTTTTTTCATTTAGACCGCTGGGCTGAATAGAAAAAAAAATTAATGTGTGCCAGGCTTTAGAAATACTGGCCACTTTATTAGGTACACCTGATCAATTGCTTTGTAATACAAATTTCTAATCAGCCTATCACATGAAAGCAACTCAATGCATTTAGGTGTGGTGAAGAAGACTTGCTGAAGTTCAAACCGAGCATCAGAATGGGGAAGAAGGGGGATTTAAGCGACTTTGAATGTGGCATGGTTGTTGGTGCCAGTTGGGCTGGTCTGAGTATTTCAAAAACTGCTGATCTAATGGGATTTTCATGCACAACTATCTCTAGGGTTTACAGAGAATTGTCGGAAAAGGAGAAAATATCCAGTGAGCAGCAGTTATGTGGACGAAAATGCCTTGTTGAGGTCAAAGGAGAATAGGTAGACTACTATTTTGAGATGATATTAAGGCAACAGTAAATCAAATAACCACTTATTACAACCAAGGTTTGCAGAATACCATCTCTAAAGGCACAACACATTGAACCTTGAAGCAGATGGGCTAAAGCACACCAGGTGCCACTTCTGTCAGCTAAGAACAGGAAACGGAGGCTAAAATTCGCATAGGCTCACCAAAATTGGACAATAGAAGATTGGGAGAACATTGGTCTAATGAGTCTGGACTTCAGCTGCGACATGTCCTCAAAATACAACTGGACAGAGACCCTGGACTGTCCGGAATGACAGAAATCACCATGATAAATTACAGGAGGGGTGTCCAGCCTGCAGCCCAAGAGTGTTAAGCATGGGGCCCAGGTGACTTTTGGATAGATGCCATGCAAGTATGGCAGCTGTGATGCCCGGCACGAACAATCCAGGCCCATTCATGTCTGGAGGGATGCAATGTTTGCACTAGCACCAGCGGTGGCAGGTACTAACAACTAGCCAGGCATAGGTATGTCTGGAGGGATGCCAGGGCTGCCTTGTTTGCAACAGCACCAGTAGCAGTGAATGCAATGACTCCCGATAGCACCAGACAAGTAAATGCTGCAGGATCTAGGGGTGCTGGGGTAGGCTGCGGCACATCTTCCAGATTTCAGCTGCACCCCCTCCTCCCCAAAAAAAAGCCCCGTGCCAGCAACTTCTGCACACACATAGTTGAAATCCAATCTCCTATTTTTATTTTTTTATTGTAGCATAGCTTCCACATCGCTAAAGAAACCAGAACCCAAAATAAGAAAAGTTGCGGATGAAGGAAGATTGGTCAAGGAAGATTGGACAGATATTTACTTCTTTGTCGAGGCAAATGCTAGCACAGTCTGCCTAATTTCTAGGGAATTTGAAAATGCATTAAATGCAAAAACATGCTGACAAATTTGAGGTGTATCAATGAATGTGTTATAAGGGCAAAATGGTGATTGGTACATTATCTATATCAGTGATTGGTAAACCTGTGATCTGCCCGACTTTTTCTGCTCATCAGCTATCCTAATGCAGGCCATAGATGGTTCGAAAATCTGCCGATTTTTCGGCCGAAAATAAAATCGGCCGATTTTCGGATCGTTAGTGGGCTAATTGTTCGGCCGTTTTTCGGTATTTTGGCAGATTTTTTTTATCGGTAAAGTTGGAAAAAAAATCGGCCGATTTTGCCGATCGGACGATTTTCGCGGCAATGATGAGCAAATCGGCCGATCTTTTTACCGATAAAAAAATCTGCGCATGAGCCGTGACCTGCAAGAGGAAGACAAAAAGAAGAAAAAAGAAGAAGAGGATGAAGAAGAGGAAAAAGAAGAGGAAGAAGAAGAATAGGAAGAAGAAGAGGATGAAGAGGAAGAAGAATAGGAAGAAGAAGAGGATGAAGAGGAAGAAGAAGAGGATGAAGAAGAAGAAGAGGATGAAGAAGAGGATGAAGAAGAAGAAGAGGATGAGAAGAAGAAGAAGAAGAGAGAAGAAGATGAAGATGAAGAAGAGGATGAAGAAGAGGATGAAAGAAGAAGAAGAAGAGGATGAAGAAGAGGATGAAGAAGAGGATGAAGAAGAAGAGGATGAAGATGAAGAAAGAGGATGAAGATGAAGAAGAGGATGAAGATGAAGAAGATGAAGAAGAAGAGGATGAAGAAGAAGAGGATGAAGAGGATGAAGAAGAGGATGAAGAAGAAGAGGAAGAAGAAGAAGAGAAGATGAAGAAGAGGATGAAGAAGAAAAAGAAGAGGATGAAGAAGAAGAGGAGGATGAAGAAGAAGAAGAGGAGGATGAAGAAGAAGAGGATGAAGAAGGAGGAGAAGAAGAAGAAGAGGATAAAGCAGAAGAGGATGAAGCAGAAGAGGATGAAGCAGAAGAGGATGAAGAAGAAGAGGGATGAAGAAGAAGAGGATGAAGAAGAAGAGGATGATGAAGAAGAGGATGAAGAAGAAGAGGATGAAGCAGAAGAGGATGAAGATGAAGAGGAGGAAGAAGAAGAAGAGGATGATGATGAAGAAGAAGAGAGGATGATGAAGAAGAAGAGGATGAAGAAGAAGAAGCAGAAGAAGTAGTAGAAGAAGCAGAAGAAGAAGAGGATGAAGAAGAAGAGGATGAAGAAGAAGAGGATGAAGAAGAAGAGGATGAAGAAGAAGAGGAGATCCAGTCCAGCAAAAAATGTCCCTGCAGAGAGCTCCTCTATTTCTTTGACAGTTCCTTGACATTTATAGCGGCTGCAACAATGTATCTATTTGTTTCCAAATAAAAACATCTGTATCCTAAATGGATACAAATACATTGTTGCAACCGCTATAAATGTCAAGGAACTGTCAAAGAAATAGCAGAGCTCTCTGCAGGGACACTTTTTGCTGGCTGTAGATGGGATGAAAATCGGCCGATTTTTTTTACCGTTGCTGGTAACGTCGGCCGCTTGAACGACCGATTTTTCGTTTTTTTTAA